GAGAGAGAGAGAGAGAGAGAGAGAGAGAGAGAGAGAGAGAGAGAGAGAGAGAGAGAGAGAGAGAGGTACTCACGTGTATGCATTTGTCAGGCTGCTGACAGATGGGGCAGACGGATGTGGGATATGTAATAAAATCTTTAAGATTGCCCTCCTGGCACTTTCCGACAGCTGGGTGCTCTCGAGAACGCAGCGCTTACAGTCGCAGACGAATCCCCACGTGTTTTTCAGGGGCTCTCTTCGTACACACGGTGGACAGCTCATCACATTAGTGTAACTATGCAGAATCTCCTCCCCTGCTTATTCATCCACGAAAGAACGCCAAAAAAAAGAAATTTTAAGTACATGCCATGAACGAACAACCGTTCACTAGTCCACCGCCTCATGAAATAATAAATAACAAATATTTCACATCATTACGTCAATAACATAGATTGAGAGCCCACTCCAACTCCAGAAATGCTTCACCTCATTATATCAAATCATTAACCTTGTAACTGTTACTAGGAGAACCCCTTTACAGCAAGCATTAACCGATTCCGTGCCGAGTTGTTGAAGCGTTGACTGTGAGGAATGCACCAGCAACCCCCCCCCCCCCCCCCCCCCCCCCCCCCCCCCCCCCCCCCCCACAAAAAAAAAAAAAAAAAAAAAAAAAAAACGTTATCCAGGTCACCCCCTTTCTTCTTTTTTCCCCCCTTCGTTTTTTAACAAAAAAACAGGGTTGCCCCATCTGGGCCTCTGCCCATGGAATCTCTCTCAGTCAGTGACTTTTTTTTTTTTAACTGAAATGATGTGGGGCCCATATTTAAAAGACCTGTAGTACGTCTCTTTAACTTTCCCAGCCATTTTGTTTTTTAATAAGTCGCAGTTTTCATGCTGCCGCAAATTTTGGGGCTCAGCCGGCGGAGCAAAATGGCTGGCGGTGTCACCCAAAAGGAGGCCTGTGCTGGTTGTTTTTCTTTGGCGTGGAGGGCGTTTCCGGCCCCGGAGAAAAGTGCCTCAGAAGTACTGGTGGTTTAGCGTACTGCAATGCATATTGCATTCTGAATCCATATTTAGACTGGCAGGTAGTTTGTCCCGAAGAAGAACACTGCAAATAGACTGAAGAAGAATACAACGCTGCATGAAGAGACTTGGAAGTACTTCCAATTACGAAGCCAGTCTGTTAAAATTGGGAGTGATTGTGATAAAAATCATAAAATAAATCGGGAGCTCCATAATTATGGGACATCTGGTAGGTAGTTTGTCCTGAAGAAGCACGGCAAATTCAATGAAGAAGAATATGGGGACAAACTACCTAGTACCAGCTTAAATAGGTCGCTAGCCCCATGAAGAGACTTGGAAGTACCAGCTCAGCTGAGCTTAACTACCTACCAGTTTAAATAGGTAGCTAGCTCTATGAGGGAAAGAACTTGAAAGAAATGAGTGATTGTGATAAAAAAATCATTGGGAGTCTGTAATTCGGGACAGCTGTTAAAACTTAAAATCATGGCTACTATCCGGACCAACGGACAGGTATCCCGACCGTCCGTGGTCCGGGATCCAGGGTCCGGGTCTCGGTCTGGATGTGTGGGCCCCAGCCCAACGGCGAATTCAAATTGTTTTTTGGGCGGTCCAGGGCATTTGTTCACACCCTGGGCCGCCCAAAATAAATAGTGCCCGATTTTTTACCGCCCTCACCAACGACCCGGAAGGCCCACAAAGTCTACAAGGGGGTTTGGTTTTGTTTTTTCAACTTTTTTTTTTTTCTTTTTTTTTTAATTGCTGAGGGGATGATCTCGCGGACGCCATTGCCATCCTCCTCCTCCTCCTCCTACACACACACACACACACACACTTCCTTCTCGTCATCGTCCTCCTAGTCAACCCGGCTGTCCTTTTCTTTCTCCCTGTCCTCCTCCCCGTCGTTGTCTACTCCGCCATCCATTCTCGTCGTCGTCATTCTCCTTCTCCTCCTTGATCGCATCAACTCCACCCTGTCTTCCCGTCGTTGTCGTCGTGTTGTCGTCATCGTTCCCGTCCTCCTCCTCCTCCTCCTCCTCCTCCTCCTCCTCCTCCTCGTGTTTACGCCGCCCTGCTTTCGCGTTGTCATCGTCGTCGTCCTCCTCCTCCTCGTCGTCAACTGCGCCCTATTTTCCCATCGTTGTCATCCTCGTCCTCATTAACCCTTTCCTCCTTTCTCTCTCCCACTCCTCCTCGTCCTCCTTCTCCTCCTCGTCGTCAACTCCGGCCTCCTCTGTCGTCTCCTCCTCCTCTCCTTGTCTTCCTCCTCATCTCCTCCCCCTCCTCCTCCTCCTTTTTGGTTTATTTAATTTTTATTTGGTCCATTTCCCGAATAATGTGTGTCCTCTCAGCGCAGGGCCCATGCTAATCTTGCCCATTCGTTAAAACTGGAAGGAGAAGATTAGCATGGCCCCTGCACATGGATGACACGCATAAATTGAGAACAATCCCAAAAATGGAAGAGGAGGAAGAGGAGGAAGAGGAGGACAAGAAAGAAAATGAGGCCCGAGTTGAGAAGGACGAGGAGGAGGAGGGGAGTAGGATGAGAACTAGAGGACGACGAGATAGGATGCGGAGTTCATGACGAGGAGTAGGAGTAGAAACTTTTTTTTTTCATCTTCTTTTTTTTTTCTTCTTTTCTCTTTTTCCCGACAATATAGGGGATCCGGACCAGAATCGGGACCAGGGATCCGGACCAGTCCGGATATTCCAGGATATTCCTGAAGTCCGGATAGGCCCAGGGGGTCCTGGGACCGGAATTGGTCCGGGGTCCGGTCCAGCGTAGCTATGGTTAAAATAGGAATAATGCAGAGAAGCTTGATTAGCATTGCACTTGGGACTGCATGAAGGATGACAGGCATAAATTGAGAAATGGTCCAACTTTGTTTATTTTCTACTGTCAAAGGGGGAAAAAAAAGGGAGCTTCAAATGCAGAGTGATTGGGAGGTCCAAACGTACAGTATGGCACGTGGGGTCGCACAAGAGGCATGAGAAGAAGTAATGAAATGCAGCCGTTAAAGAAGTAGCGAGGCCAACGGCTATACGTCCACACATACGAGTAGTTACGTAGAAGCACAAGCATGGACATGACCATCTCATAGCGCATAAACGCGCGCACTCCCCGACACGTTTTGCCTGGCTGCGCACCAGGACTTATCAAGGGGCGAACCACACTCCCGCATCCACCGCACTAACCACCTGAGCATAGAGGGCCGTTCTGGCCCTGCCCTCCATAGGTAAAGTCGTGCAGGTGCAACAGGCGAAGGCACTCCCTGCAGTGGGCCTGCACCACAGGTAACAGATCGGGGCACGCCTTGTCTGAACACTCATGAACAACTCACGCGGGCAGGCGCGCAGGACGTGCCAGCTCTCTCTCATGTCACACGTGTACCGGAGATGTGCAGGTTGTTGCAGCGGGCCTGGCCGTGAGTTGTAAACCCAATTTGAAAGGGGTTTGTTCCTCGTGTCCTGCTTTCCCGTTCAGGTGGTTAAAACCAGCAGTACTAGTACATGGGCACCTGGGCCATGGGCCTGACACCTCAAATTCTGGAAGCGCAAAATGAGAACGCGACCGCCGATCCAATTTATCAGCAGCGGGCCCAGCATTCGACATTTCGGCCTCGTTATCTTGTGGCGAAAAGTTTCGGACTGCAAGGCTGGGGCCGTGTACTGGTGGTGGCTTAAAGCCTGCAGCCTGAGGTTCTCAAGCCCTAGTACCCAGTGCCTATGCTAGGCTACCGGAAAGTACCCCGCTGTGACAGACTATCACATCTACTCAGTACAGTAGTACATAGCACATAAATTTCCCCTAGCTATTGCTATCCCTAAAAAAACTACTGGCCCCTCTACTTCCCCTGGCCGAGCCATCAGCAAACGCTACTATACAACCGACAGGCCTGCTGCTGAGACGCTTCTCTTTCCCTGTCCCCGTGGTATATACATTACGAAACTGGCCGGCATGAGAGGTATAAATTCATGAGAAGCACAAATTGAATGGCGTCCAATTACAAAAAGCAAAATGCCAACTTTTGTCGTCTTCGGCTCGGCCTTCAGTGCCCAACATATCTACCACACTACTCTGGATGGTCCCGGCCTACCTGCTTCTTGAGTGTCTTTCCCCGCTGCTCGTGCGTGTCGCGGACCTACTCCCTCTACTTGAGTGTTTTCCCCGGTGCAGCCCTCAAATTCAGAGCCACGGGTAAGTACCCCCCCTCCAGGGCCTCCCGAACAAACAAGTACCCTTGCAGGTCACACAGACACACACACACACACACACACACACACACACACACACACACACACACACACACACGCACACATGGATGGTACCGGCCTACCTGCTACTTGCTGCTTTAAGTGTCGTGGGCTGACTCCCTCTGCATGGGTGCTTTCTCCGCTGCAACCCTCAAAGTCAGGGTCACAGGTAAGTACCCGGGCTGCGGGGCCTCCCGAAAAACAAGTATCATTGCGGGTCACACACGGACACACACTCAAGCCGACAAGCACTCAGACAGGCACGCAGACCAGCAAGCCGGCACACACCCGGACTTTGAAAACTCAGCGGAAAGCGGGAATCTCAGTAAGGCATTCATTCTAGGCTTTCTAGTGGCAACCCTCGGAAATCAGCTGTGTTCTCAATCCGTGTTTGGGCAGGTCCTTACCGAGCCCCAAGTCCCACTTGGGCAGCGTGAGTGGGACTTGGGCCGCCGTAGCAAAAACTCATGTCAACCCCAGTGAGGCTGCTACTGGGGGCCCCCAAGTCCCACTTACGCTGCTTCTTCATTTCTGGCCATTGAACTACGTAATCTACAGCCAGAGGTTGAGATTCGGGTATTAAGTGGGACTTGGCCCCGGGTCCGTAGTATGCACGTCCAGCTGTCTCAGAGACTAATATACCCCCCGGGACCCCAATATACACCCTGGTAAATCGAGTTCGCAGCCCTTGGGCTGCGCTATACCTCGTCTATTTGACGTAGGAGCGAACGGTCGTTGTGCACCGACCGGTCAGGAGGGTAGTTGGGAGGCCGGGCAAAGTCGAAGAGGGCTCAGAAGAGGGTTTGGATGTGGTCGCCGTCAAACAGCCCAGGGCGTGGCCTTCTTTTTGTTGTTTCAAATGCCCCGACCGGTCTGTCCAGTATTCGGGGTTTGGGGGGGCGATACTGAAGGCTCCGTGTTTTCGGCAGATGTGGTTGGCTAATTTTTTATTTTCTTTCTGTAATCTTTTCTGTAACTGTATTACTGTTGTGGGATAGTGATTCGCGCCGATACTGTACAGACTGTACAGATTCTATACGCGTTTTTCTCCTTTCCTTTCTTTTTTTTTTTTTTTTTTGTGTTTTGTTGAGTGATTGTTGAGTGAATTCAGACTATAACGTTATGGATGTATCCGGTTCGGAGTGAGGTCCTATACCTCTTGGTTTTGATTGTCGTTTTGCGGTATGAAGGAAACAAAGGGAGGATACAACTGGGGCGAGGTCCCACTTGCAAAGAGGATTGGATTAAACGCCTTAATTTGGCTACGTTTGCGGACGAGTGCAGAAAATCGAGATTGAACTCCTTTTCTGCATCTCTGCCTAAAACACGCCCAGATTCAGGATATTCATCCAATACCCGTTGCAAGTGGGACCATGCTCCTGTTCTGTGCTCTGCCGGTGCTCTAAACGGCTTTTTCGTTTTTTTCAAAAACAAAATAATTGGCTTAGCTTCGTGGGCGAGGACATCGCCACACCACTCCGCTTTGGATGTTTTGGTGCATATACATGCTCCATTTTGCACGTTCTGGGACTGGTGTGGCGAGGCCCCTGAGAACGGAGGAAGGGAAAAAAGGGAGGCTACATACTTATGGGTCTCGACACACCACTCAAAATGTGAAAAAGGCAAAAATGTGGAGGGTGCATCTGGTCATGTTCTATGGGAAGTTCATTCTCATTTTGCACGGATGGAGGAAAAAAAGGGAGGTGGTCTGCCGCTGCTATAAACGGCTTTTTTCCCTTTTTTTTGTCTTTTTTTTTGTTGAGTGAGTGAGGACATCGCCACAGCACTCCCCGGGGGCCAAGTCCCACTTACCTGGATCCTCCATTCCCGACCGTAGATCATGAGAATCAACGGCCAGAAATGAAGAATCCGGTCAAGTGGGACTTGGCCCCGGGGGCTAGGTCCCACTTGCACGAATTAAGAGATACTGACCGTAGATAGCAAAGATCAACGGCCGACATCTCCTAATTTGCGCAAGTGGGGCCTTGCCCCGGTTGCAGCTTTCAATGTTCTTGTTGCAGATACATGCTCCATTTTGCACATTCTGGGACTGGTGTGGCGAGGCCCTGAGAACGGAGGCAGGAATAAAAGGGAGGCTACATACATATGGGAGTCGCCACACCAGTCAAGGATCATAAAGGTCAGGTGTATCAGGTTGAAGAGGGTACAGGGTTTGAGTTTTCGGTGGGTCTGTACGGCTCCGTCCCGCACGCCTTCACTCCTACCGGGTTCCCGGTGGCACTAAGGGCTGCGGGCCCGCGTCCTCGCGGTATGTCAGTACCGGGACACCCTATCGGGCACTCCGTAGTATGTACCCTACGGTAGAGGACGGACCTTCCTTTTACGTCGCCATCCGGCTGGATTTGATGCTGATCCTGGTTTTCTCAAAGCCAAACAGATCATCAGCGAGCATCTGCCAAGCGCCCCCGAAGGCACAGGTAGCCCTTTTTTTTTTTTTTTTTTTTTTTTTTTTTTTTTTTTTTTTTGGGGGGGGGGAGAAAGCTGGCAGCCTAGTATCATATGATCCCGGCGCTCCGGCCTGGTTCATATGATGGCTGCTTTTGAGTTATGAAAGCCGGAAAACGGGTCCAGCGTCCCTCACATCATAGAAAAAAATCAACAGAACGAACAAAAGAGGAAGTATACACAAAACCCTAACTGTAGATAACAAAATCGTCCATCCTCTGATAATCACCTAACCCTACGTATCCGCCCTACCTCCCGCACGGCAGGGGTCTGGGTCTCAGACCTCCTCCTCCTCCTCCTCCTCCTCCTCCTCCTCCTCCTCGTCTTCCTCCTCCTCTTCCTCCTACTCCTCCTTCTCCTCCTCCTCTTTCTCCTCTTCGTCGTCGTCCTCCTCCTCCTCCTCCCTGCATATTCCTTTCCCAATTGCCCTTCCAGGAACAGCAAGTACGCAGAAGCCCTTGCCCTGTACGAGATCTGCGTGGAACGTGATCCGGAGGACGAAGTTCTCCTTTTCCTTGAGTCTTCTTGTTCTTTTTTTTTTTTTTTTTTTTAAGCTTCTTTATTGACCCTGAAAGAACATTTGAGGAACCATTACGTTGAACTTTCACGGCACGTGGGTAAATGCTGGGAAGGTTGCTGGTAACTTGCTACCACCCAGTAATTATCGCTGTGTACCTAGACTGAAATAAGCACCAAATACAATTATAATGACCACGCGTTCTATTCGGGTGACGATGGACCGATGGTAGTTAGATGGGAAAAGGAGATAAAATTTAAAATGTAAAAAAAAAAAATTGCGTCTCTGAATGGCGAGTGACTGTATGTCATGATTTTTTTTTTTTTTTTTTTTTTTCCTGTACTGATTGAGTTTACCTTCTTCTATATGGGACGCTGGGCCGAAAAAAAAAAAAAGAGAGTTTACCTTCTTCGATATCTCTCCCGGCACGAAGCATGAGAAAATCCTTAATGCCAGTAAAATTTGCGTTCGGGATGCAGGAGTGATTGACGAAGGACGCGACCGTCCATATCCCGACACAGAGCTCAGCTTTGCTGCTATCATCTTGGCAAGCTTCTGCATTGCACAACCAAAAAAAAAGGGGGGGGAAAGAGTTTTTAAAAACGACCAAAAAAAAAAATTAAAAAATAGTCCAGATTTCAAAATACAAAAAAAACACCAACATGGTCGTTTCAGTGTCACTGGGGGTCCAGGTTAGCAAAAACAGCATCGTGGTGAGAGGTGGTGTTTTTGTAACAGAGAGTGGTGAGGAGGTGCTATCTGCTCTGAATCGCAAGGAGGTGGGTGGATATTGAGGGGTCTTCATCTGCAGTTGGGGGCCTGTGGGCACAGACTCCTGCCACGCAGGTGGAAGGGCGGGTTGGCAGGGGATATCACCATGTAGTGCAAGTCGTTTCTTTTTTTCTTTGAGGCTTCTTTTTGACATGGGATTTGTGGTGTGCGGCCGTCCAGTTCTTGGGCTTGGCCGGTGATGCCTCGCCCCTGAAGAGGTCCGCAGAATCTTTATAAGGGTTTAAAAGCAGCAATAAATTGATAATAATAATAAATTTGAATAAAATATGAGACAAGGAGAGAATTAGTTCTACTGGGCCACTGATCCAGAAAATAGCCACACATTATTAAAAAAAAAAAAAAAACAATCTGAGGGTGTACTCACACCAGGACTACTACTACTCAGGGGCTCGTTCCACACAACTTAGGAAACCTTACATTGTAAGGGCGCCCTAACTGGGCCAGGGTGATTAATTTACCCTAGTAACTCTTTTTTTGTTCCACAGCCCGTAAGGAAGACTATACACACACAAAAAAAAAAAAAAGAAGAAGAAGCCCATACACTTACCGGCCATTACATCTCAGGTGAGGAGGGCCAGGTGTCAGGACCTCGGCCTGTCGGGCAATCCGTAGGGTCCCACCCTTACATTTCTAGTGACCTCCGTGGGCTCCCTAGAGATTTTTGTCGTTTTGCCTGGGGCGACCTCATTTTGTAAGGGCGGACCCTAACAGCCGAGAATGTGAAAACAGTCATTAGGGAGTGGTGGAACGATGATTTTGTAAGGATCCTTACATTTGTAGTGGTGTGGAACGAGGCCCTAAGCTCTGGAATTGATTGGGGCCAGATTCTTCCTCCTCTGGCAGTAATTGCTGTCAGATACATTTAGGAACTTTAAGTCCGAGTGTGAGTATGCCCTGAAAACAAACACGAAAGTCATTTCATATGTGTGTGTGTGTGTGTGTGTGTGTGTGTGTGTGTGTGTGTGTGTGTGTGTGGGATCATGCATAGCGTATAGAACACGCACACATAAAATAAAGTAGGGGTTACTTTATGAAGTCCCACCTTCTTTATGCTATGAGATCCCACCTACTGCTTATTTTATGCTATGAGCCCCCACCAACTTTATGCTATGAATATAATGAAGTCCTACTTATTTTATGCTATGAGCCCCCACCTACTTTATGCTATGAAGTCCCACCTATTTTATTCTATGAAGTGCCACCTACTTCCTCAAGTCCCAGCTACTTTATGCTACGAAGTCCCACCTACTTTATGCTATAAAGTCCCACCTATTCTATGCTATGAAGTCCCACCCAGCCACTTTATGCTATGAAGTCCCACCCACTTCAAAATTATGCTATGAAGTCCCACCCAGTTTATGCTATGGAGTCCCACCTACTTTATGGAGTCCCACTTACTTCATGCTATGATGAAGTCCCACCTACTTTATGGTACATGAGTTAAAGTCGTAACCACTTAGCAACACCCTCCCTCCCTATTCTCTCTCTGTCCCATTGACTAAGCAGTAGACTTCTGTTATAATTGTTGGACATTAACATAGACTGACAAGGTGAGAGAAGATTTACACATGGCCAACAATGGCAAAAGATTTTGGGCATCCATTAACATTGGAACGGTACGGAGAAAGAAGATTGGCATGGCCCCTTGCGCACGGATGACACACGTTAATCCAGAGATGGTCCAGACAATTGGCAAACAAACAAAAACAAAAACGAAAGGAAGACAAGACTATAATTGCCGAAGATCCACACAGACATGGAGATCCAATATACAGACTCCGAGTCAGAAAACAACTGAGGACAAGTACGCAGAGAACACTGGATTAACAGCAGACTGTTCCGACGGACTCTCGCTGATTCGCCAGGAGGTTGTACCGTCGAAAGTCTGCCGAACCCCATTTACAACGCTTTATGTCGTACCCTGCTTCAAGCCCTGTTGCGCTCGCACATACAGTAACACAGCAAAGCGTGCCGAAGCCATGCCATTGGGTGAGGCAACTTATAGCATGGCGAAGCCATTGGGTAAGACAACTTATAGCAAGGCAGAGCCAAAATTGGGTACTAAGGCACCCTTATCGCAAGGCAACAAACAGCAACAAGGAAACTTACAGCAAGGCAACCTTATAGCAAGGCAACCTTACAGCAAGGGGAACTTATAGCAAGGGGAACTTATAGCAAGGGAACTTATAGCAAGGGAACTTACAGCAAGGGAACTTACAGCAAGGGAACTTACAGCAAGGGAACTTACAGCAAGGGAAATTACAGCAAGGGAACTTTATAGCAAGGGTAAAAAAAAGTTATAGCAAGGGAACTTATAGCAAGGGAACTTATAGGATATAGCAAGGGAACTTTATAGCAAGGGTAAAAAAAAAAAAAAAAAAAAAAAGTTATAGGGAACTTAGCAAGGGAACTTACAGCAAGGGAACTTATAGTAAGGGAACTGATAGCAAGGCAGAGCCAAAATTGGGTAAGGCAACTTCTAGTAAGGTAGCTTATAGAAGAGGCAACTTCTAGTAGTAAGGCAGCTTATAGCACGGCAATGCAACCTTATTGTGAGGCAACTTCTAGTCAGGCAACTTGAGTTATAGCAAGGCAACTTCTAGTAGTAAGGCAGCTTATAGAAGAGGCAACTTCTAGTAGTAAGGCAGCTTATAGAAGAGGCAACTTCTAGAAGTAAGGCAGCTTATAGAAGAGGCAACTTATGGATAGGCAAACCCATTGGGTAAGGCAACTTATAGCAAGGCAAGGCCAGTGGGTAAGGCCACTTATGGCAAGGTAAAGTGAGCGCGCAGGTCGGTAAGAGACTAAGGAGATCCGTCGCACAGTAAAACGGCATTAAACAGCTGATTCGATCGCCCGATCGTTACAGCTGATTCGATTGCCCGATCTGATTCACTGTATGTACTACTGTGTACTAACTGGAATCGATCGCCCGGTCGTTACGGTTGCTGTCTTAAAACCGCTAGTACAAAGCCCCAGCCTTGCAGAAAGTTTTTGTTGGCACAAGCAAAACTCGGAGGAGCCGTGTGTACCTCCACACCGTTGAAAAAAGAAAAATTCAACGGCCTCCGAAGTGGTGAGGGTTTCATGCTGACACCCACGGGCCGATGTGTGGCATACTTGTGCCTTAAGGCAATTTCCACTCTAGATACTAGGAGATAGCACACCTATAATGACTGCGGCCCTTCCAATTCGGGTGAAGATGGTAGGAAGCACCATATAGCAAATGCAAGTGGTGCCGGACCGGCGGGTGGGCACATGGGCAGGAGGGCAGGAACACGCAAAAACACGATGTGGTATACAACCCTGTCTATGCAGCAGGCAACATATAGGGCCCCGCCGCATAGCACACGGAACAACAAGAGAAAGAGTGCATCTGCCCAAAGACATTTGGTACTATTTATAGTAAACGGGGATGAATCAATTTCATTTTTCGTTTCTAGTGCTGTGCCGCAAGGCCAGTAGAAACACAACAACACAGCGAGCGGGTAGGTGGATAGACCGGTAGGCACACAACAACACAAGGGGGCATGCAGGAAGGGGAATAGGGGATACACTTATTGCAGCGGCGGGCCTTGTTTTTAGAGAAAACCATGCATTATGCCACCATCAAGAGGTACTACCGTCTTCACCTGAGTAGAATGTACGGTGATTACTGCTGTATCTAGACTCAAAGTTGCCCTCAATGACCGTTACGCTATGTTCTATTCAGTGGAAGATGGTAGTAGCATACCACAAGCGGAAAGTAGCTTGCCACCACCAAGCACAGACATGGGGGCATCCTCACCACAGCCGCCCCCCTCAATAGTGTCGCAGGCACGTCTTATTCTTCTTCTTCTTCATCTTCTTCTTCGTCGTCTTCTTCTTCGTCGTCGTCTTCTTCTTCTTCGTCTTCTTCTTCTTCTTCTTCTTCTTTTCTCAGGGAAACGATTTGTGTGTCGTTTATCTACCTATGCATGTGTTTTCCAATGGGACCACGCTCAGCTTCTCTGAATGATTCCGAATACGATTTTTAATCAATGACGCAATGCAATGGACCAGGCACTCGTTTTCTTTTTCCTTTCTTTTTTTTTCGAAAGTTCGACGGCCTTGAGATATCATCATGGAAATGACTGGCCCCAGGTAATTCAGAATGATGATTGTTTTTATTCTGTTCATCTGATTAGTACATCTGGACTCGAACTTGGGTCTGTATTTCAACAGTTCATGGGTGTGGTCCCAACTGAGATAGGTAGTACGCTGATCAGGCACTTGTTTTCTATCTGCATCAGAATTCGAACTTGGGTTCATTTATCAACAAACAGCTCATCATTGGTTGTCCCATTCACCCACAAGGACTGGGTTGTGTTGCAGGCAATTCTGACAATGCACATCGACTGTTTGGCACATCTTTAAGGTGCTACAGTTAGACACTGAAAACCGGCCGGGGACAACAGAGCGACATGAAACAAATCAACAAACAATGTGGATTTGTTGAAGAGACCTCAGGGACAGCAGAGAGAAAACAGATTTCAACAAACAATGTGAACCTATTGAAAGACTCATAAAGAGAGCACGGGTAAGAGAGAAAGAGAGAGAGAGAGAGAGAGAGAGAGAGAGAGAGAGAGANAAAGAGAGCACGGGTAAGAGAGAAAGAGAGAGAGAAAGAGAGAAAGAGAGAGAGAGAGAGAGAGAGAGAGAGAGAGAGAGAGAGAGAGAGAGAGAGAGAGAGAGAGAAAGAGAGAGGACACAAACAAACCAACAAACAATGTGGATCTGTTGAAGAGCGCACCGGGGCAGCAGAGAGAGAACAAAGTTTTCAACAAACAGACCAACAAACAGTGTGAATTTGTTGAACAGAGCACAGTGACAGGAAAGAGTTAGAATAAAGTTCAACAACCGAGCCAACAGACAATGTGAATCTGTCGAACAGAGCACGGGGTCAAGAGAGAGAGAACCAAACAAACCAACAAACAATGTGAATCTGTGTGTGTGTGTGTGTGTGTGTGTGTGTGTTTTGTAATGTTCACTCCAGACACCTTCAGAAAGAAAGCTAGCTGTGGAAAACTGTTTCGTCAGACTTACACCTACTCATCAGGAAATTGAACCCCAACCGTCTGCCCAGGATGTGTTCAACTGAATAGATAAGGACTCACTGCATTCCGCAGTGTTAGTGAGATGCCCCCTGAGTATCGGGTTTTTTGCCCTTTTTTTTTCTGAGTATAATGTGGTTACCTCCCATCAATAAAGAATTGTAATGTGCAACCTTGCGCAGACGATCCATGTCGACAGTGGTAGATTCAATTGCATGTTTCTCCTTTTCCTTCTGCCGCCTGCGCCGTGCTGATCCAGAAGCTGATTGTTTCTGCAGAGAGTTCTCTGCCTCACTAATTCGTCTCATTAGCTCCTCCTCTGCCCAACATCCACCCACAATTTCAAACACAAACCACTTTCTTTTTTAAGTTCACACCACAAAAAAAAAAAAAAAAAAAAAAAAAAAAGCATTTTCCATATGAATGATCTCTCCATAACTTCAGCCCTCAGCTCATTTGAAACTACGACTAACGAGGCCCCAGGTGGATGGGTGGGAGGGGGGGTAGGGGTGGGGGGATGTTTACTGGTGGTTCTTCGGGAGGAGGGAAGGAGGGGGGTGGAGAAGGTGGGGGGGGTGGGCGGATGGGTGTTTAAGGAGGGGTTAAGTAGGTGTTTAGAGGGGAACAGATAAAAAAGGATGGAGATGAGAAAGTAGGGAGGTAATGGAGTTCAAGGGTATATTAAGTGCCAGAGAGAATAGAAGATGACAGGCATTTTCATCCTACTCACAGCCACTCGCAGCCGGATTTCAACACAGCAGCACAATTCATATGATTGAATGACAACGCAAGGCTGGAGCTTGCTGGTCACTCGTAGAAGGGCCAGGCCTCACTGGGGCTCTGTTTGTGCAAGAAAACACGAACCTGGCCACTTTTAAGTCCAGGATAATTGTTCTTTCTAAGCACAAACATAACACCAGTGGCCCCAGGTCCTAAGAAAGCTTCGACATGAAAGAAGTCACAATAGATGTGGGGTGATTACAATAGATGTGGGGTGATTGAATGATTGAATGAATGATTGAATGATTGAATGAATGATTGAATGATTGAATGATTGAATGATTGAATGATGGAATGATTGAATGATTGGATGACTGATTGATTGGATGATTGATTGATTAGTTGATATGTTGATTGGTTGTCAATGACTGGTTGATTGTTTGTTTGTTTGTTTGTTTGTTTGTTTGTTTGTTTGTTTGTTTGTTTGTTTGTTTCTTCATTTGACTGACTGATTGATTGATTGATTGATCGAGTGATTGATTGATCGAGTGAGTGAGTGAGTGAGTGAGTGAGTGAGTGAGTGAGTGAGTGAGTGAGTGAGTGAGTGATCGAGTGATCGAGTGATTGAGTGATTGAGTGATTGAGTGAGTAAGTGATCGAGTGGGTGAGTGGGTGAGTGGGTGAGTGGGTGAGTGGGTGAGTGGGTGAGTGGGTGAGTGGGTGAGTGGGTGAGTGGGAGAAGTGAGTGAGTGAGTGATTGAGTGAGGCAGGGAGGGAGGGAGGGAGGGATGGAAGGATGGAGAGAGTTATGAAAAAAATGCATGTAGATCAGGAAACATAGGGTTGTATTCTGGGTTGGTCAAGGAACACTAGAAAAATTGGGACACTAGAAAACCAGGGACAGGGGGAGGATTAAGTAATGTGAGCGGAGAGACTATAACAACACCAGACATGACCTTTGTTGACTGGGCGGGCTCGGTGTATCTTGCCAACTTCTGTGTGAAGATGCACTCAGTGACACTTGTCATTTTTCATGTCTCTGGAGTTGTGTGGCAAAGGACATTACCCAGGTTTATATGAGGTGAAGCGCATGACCAGACAAGTACGGAAACATGAAAATAACAAGTGCATCTTCACACAGAAGGTGGCCAGATACACCGAGCCAGGCCCTGTCCTCCACACATAAATTCCTAAAGTTTCAACAGTCTGTACCTTTTTTCTTTTTGTCTCCTTTTATACAAAACAAAGGACAGCATTCCCATTACGTAATAATAATTTATAATTTTATATAAAATTGTAAATTATTATCAAATAAGCTCCAGGGCGGGCATTTCACATAAAACCGAGAATCGCTGTGAGCATAACCAAGTTTTTTGTCTGGGAAGATTTTCATGACTGGCCGCCGGCGGTCGGTCACCCGGGCGTGACGCCTAGGATACCCAAATTTGGGCTCTTTTCTTTTTTTGAGTGTTGTATGTCAAGAGGGGGGGAAGGGGACTACAAATGAATTTTAAAGGGGCTAAGGGGATTTGAAGGGGGGTGACATAGTGTGATTTGGTTATTTTCTTTTTTACCTTCAGTTCCGTGAGGAATTCTGATGTGGCCCTCAGAGTGAATCTGACAAACCATTCACGACAAGAAGCACTTTGTACATACAATCGCAAACCATTACACGCCAAAGTACCCATGCTCGTAGTCGAAACACCAAGTGTACGACAATTTAACGACTATTACAGTGATTTAAAACTTGATATAATCCAAAATTCGCAGTGGTCGCGATTTTCCCCGTGCTACTCCACCATATCAAGCTAGTTCCCACCGCTCTTCTCCCTATACTGCCTCCTTGGGTAGGTTTTTTCTAACCTCCCCACAATACTTGTCGCCCTTGTCACTGCCTCACTGCCTTTTCAACCCCTTTTCTAATTGCCACAAATAGGGACACATCATCCACCAGGCGGATCCCAACCACGAGCCTCCTATCGGCTCCAAACAAGCCTAAAATAGTTTTTGAAAAGTCTGGAAACGCCAAAAGTTGTTTGTATTGCAATTCTACAGAACATGTTGTTTTTTCAGATTTTTTTGGAATTGGTCTTTTGTTCTTTTGCGATGTGGCTGCCCAGGCCCGTGCCCGGGGGTCATGCCCGGCCGGTTATCCGGTCGCCAAATCGGGCGTGACATCGGAACCCGGGCGCCTGGAATATCTCCCTAGTTTTTTTTTTCTTTCTTTTCTTTTCTTTTTTTTTGCTTTAAACTCAGCTTCAGTTCTTGTCCAGTATATTAGGTCAAAAAGTATCTCACAGAAATAGTGTGATCTCTTGTTTTTTTCAAATTTTTGAAAAATTTTCCCTTAAAAAAAAGAAAAAAAAAGGTGTGAATTCACACAGTCACCTCACTGAGCAGATTCGTGTACAGTAGACACAGCAATAAAATTATCATTTTATTCTTTTCTTTTCTTTTCTTTTCTTTTCTTTTAAGACCGAACACACACATGCAGCAATAGTTGATGATATCAATGCACCTCGGGTTATTTCTCTTCAAAAAAAAAAAAAAAAAGCACCAAAGATAGGAATCTCAAGGATTTGGAGCATGAAAAGCACCACAAGAAAATACGGAACAGAATTACAGACTCCGACTTTCACTCCGGTAATGGCATTGCCGACACGGCCTTTTGACTGCTGCAAATACAATTCGTCGCGCAGAAAGATCAAACAGGTCCTGTCCTACGGCTCCCATGCTAACGGGGAGAAAGAAGGGCCCAGGGAAATAAGGATGTAAGACCTAGTGAGGGACGAACTAAGGAAAGAAGGGAGAACTAAGAAAGGGAGCGAAGGAATCGCAACTACCACTTAAGAAAGGCTACGTAGTAAGGACAGTCGTTACCCCAGAATGGATATGAGGCAGGAGGCATAAGGCCCCGTACTCTTAAAAAAAAAAAAAAAAAAAAGAAAGGCTAAGAAGAGACATGAGTGAACCAGTCATGGCGAGAATACCAGCTTCCCCACTCCCTGCAAGAAAACATGCCGCAAGTTTGTGTCTTCTTTCCTCAAGTGCAGTTCATGTTGAACCAGCACCAGGCCTTGACAATGGTTTAGGGGTTAAGCTTTAGTACTCAGGGTTTTAGGGTTTGGGGTTTAGGACTTTAGGGTCTTAGGGTTTAGGGTGCAGGGTCTTATGGTTTAGGGTTAAATTGGAGTTTACATTTAGGCTTTGGGGGTTGTGGCTTCTAGGGCTCAGGGTTTAGGCTTTGGGGGTGTTGACTTCTAGGGCTCAGGGTTTAGGGTCTAGGGTTTAGGGTTGAGGGTTTAGGGTTGAGGGTTCACAGTTTGTGGGGTTAGAGGTTAGGGTTTTGGGTTCAGGGTTTTGGGGTTTAGGGCTTAGGGTTTAGGCTTCCGTGGTTTCGGGCTCTGGGTTTAGGTTTAGGCTTCATGGGTGTAGAGTTTCAGTTCGGAAGACCACGATTTGGTGCTACCTTCCTGCGCTTGTACTGCTAGTTGAGTAATAACATAGTATGCCGCAGCCACGGGTTCATGCCGGTTTTCAGCTCTCTGCATTTGTGAGATATTTGCAGCCAAAAAACACACCTTTTCCTTTCCCTCCAGATCCAGCACAGAACCACAAGTTTATTTGCGGAGGACCTGCCAAGGGAGGTAGGGAAGGTGGGTGCAGGCCCAACTCTGCCCAAAATTGGGTATCTCCAAAAGAATCTGTTATTGTAATTATAGTGTTTCTTAAAGTTGATCGAATAAAATCAATACCATGCATTGTTTGCATGGCGTGTTTTTTTTTTTTTTTTTTTTTTTTTTTCCTTTTCAAAACGCAATCTCTATATTATTTGCAACATTGGGAATTAGGCCCTTGTCCCTCACATCATTCTTGGTGTGACCCTTTGGAACACACCTGGCAATACCGGTCAGGTCCAAACCCGCGTCGTTGTGCTGTGAGGTCTTCACAATGTTTTTTTAAACAGGTAACTTGAACCCCCAGCCAGTACTTCTTAAAGTTATGAATTAACATGTCACAATTTTAGGAAATGTATGGCGCACTACAGGAGCGCCCAAATCCATCCAACTAGAAACGTTTCTACTCTATTTTTCCCGCGGCTGATAGCTGCCCCAAGACTGGTGGTTTGAAAACAGAATTATAGCAAATCTAAGGTCTATGCAAATCGAAGGAGCACCCAGCCACTCAGTGGCACAGACTGAGGCTTGGTGCTCCTTTCATTTGCATAGACCTCAGATTTGCATAGGCCTATATTTTACTAGGAAACGTACGGGCCTCTATTTTTTTCCCCGGCTGATAGCTGGGCCAAGCTAACCTGGCATTGAAAAAAAAAAAAAAAAAAAACAGCCAGTGCTCTCTATACCAGAAAAGACAATACAACACCAAGTAAGGAAAAGACAAAATCTACCAAAGCCAAAGCATTTTTTATCCAAATGTAACAAACTTCACAGAAGAGAAAAGAAAAGAGGGAAACCAAAATTCCGGCATTACGTCTTCCGACGCCAGAATAGTCACCACATGAGGGAATCCTGCCCATCCATCTGGAGCCAAACGGTCCCAGACATTCGGGGGTAAAAAAATGAACCCTTTATGTTAGAA